CTGCGCGTAAATGCTTGTATTAACTAAAATTGATTTTTTAGAATAGGTAGTTAGCAAAATAAGAATGAGAGTTCTGCTATGCTTACTTCTTTAGTGGTTAATACTTTGAATAAGTCATCTGGGGCGCAAAAGAACTCTGAATTAATCTTAATTGTCCTATCAAGAGTGCTTGAAGAGCTATCCTTGGGCTCTTGTGAAATGCCAGTTCCATTTTTGATCGCTGCAGCCGCAGCTGCGGACGCCTCATCAGCCCTGGAGGTGCAGGTTGGATCTGCAACTTTTCCCTTTGATGGTAAAATTAGGTTGGAGCTGTATTCTGATGGGTCAGAATAATAAGAGACAAGCATTAACCAGGGAAATCAGCTTTTGGGTTTAAAATTTATAGGCATTTGAACATTACCTTCTTTGAGGCTCTTTACATATACACCAAGTTTCTGGCGAATGCCCTTGGCCCCTTCCATTCGCATAAATTCTTTCAGATTAAACGCTTCACCATCAGAACTATTTATAGTAACAGTGACGTCTAGCTCGTCAGGAGTATTCTCCTCGCTTAAGTTCGGGACCTCAATCTTTCCCGTATAATTTGTATTATTTTCAGAATCTTTTATTTTTCCGGACCATTCAAGTTCGATATGCCACTCGTAAAAGAATATGAGCTTTGCCTTTCGGTTATTGGCCACAGCCTCGCCCTCACATTTCGAGACGGAAATCACTTCGCAATAATCTAAACGAAATGACTAAATGACATCTTACACCTGGAATTCTGGGCAACGAAGCCAGTAAGCAAGCCCTTAATTCTATTAATGGACCAAAGAGTGGCATCCTTCTCAGTCCAATGCCAATTATTTACATTTTTGGCATCTTCTCTTTCTTCCACAATCCAACGAGGATCCCCTTCACCCCACTTGGCCATGAGCGCAACCAGGTACGAAGTAGAGAAATACGGGAAAGCGAAGCGCACGCTAGCAATTTCCAGAATATTTAAGGAAGCGCAGAACTAACTAGAGGATTAAACAATTATATAAATACATACCAAACATCTAAAACACTTTGAAGATTTTCTTTAGCATATTTTAAGCTATTAGTGTTTTAGATATTGCGCTTTATCTGAATTCCACCATAAGCATGGCTGATGCTCTTGATAAGTCTTCCCGAGAAAAGGCCCCTCTTTGGTCAGTCATAATGCGATTCAGGTTGGATAGGCAA